ATTTAGAGCTGGATCCTAGCCTGCCCTGCAAGACATATACTCTGAGCTGGGCCCTGGGAAAAAATGATCAGGGAAATATTTCTTAGAACCCTGATCTGGCTCAGCACATATACTCATATGCAGAAATAGAGTGATTTTTGTAAATGGGAATTGGCTGTATGCCAGGTTGCCAAATTCCGTAAAGAAAACGTGAGGTCTATGGTAAAATTGCGACCTCATACTAGAGCAATTGCCTCAAACACTTCATTCTTTATTTATTATTTTATTAAATACATAATAACATTGATATAACAGTCTAGTGAATGTCGATAAGCGTTTAATATCCAACGAAGATAATATTTATATATAGATCTAAATATAGTTCAATGTTCCCGAGAATTCAATATCACTCCCTAGGCGGGCCCATAACATACCGTAATTACTTCCAAGTACCATCTTGTACCATCTCGTTACATCAGGGAAAAGGCTGGAGCATGGGATGGTTGGTGGGTGACTCTTTAAATCAGTCTTTACAGCTCGCAATCCAAGTAAGAATGATATAGGCAGATAAAGCTAACTCGGATATCTGCCCATGTTTAACTATAGTTTCATTGTTATAGTTATGAATAGGTCAAACATAGTGGTTTGGACAATAATTAATAAGCGATACTGGGTGCAGTAGCCTACGGGTTTGGCAAGCAAATAATGAAAGTCTGTGATAGAGTCTTCCTTTGTTTAGACAATAGTAGCTTTCGAGTTGGCTTAACATAGACATTTTAAATCTATAATTTTTAGGTCTAGCGCATTGAGTATCGTCCATTAACAATAATTTGTACTCGTAAAAATTACCATTTTGACAAATCTCGCCCAAACGTCACTATTTCGCGGTTCAAACTAATTGTTCTTACGTTTCAACATGCACGTTTGACCCGCCAAACGTGTACGTTTGAAACGTAAACAAACGTGAAAAAAGTTTGGGTTTTGCGGTTGCTTGCAAATGGTAGTATTAATTACAATATTAAACAATGAAATGTAAAACATCTATCATACTAAGTCCATCTAACAAGAAGTTTGCTTCCATTAGTTCTGGAAAGACATACAATACTTGTTCAAAGCAGTACCTCTTTCACTTCAAAATCGACTTTTTGTAGTCTCTATCTTTTTCATTTAAAACAAAGTAATCAGTTCTGGAACTGGAAACCAGTCTATTCAGGACTTTGCTTCCATGTGCATACTTGTTTAAAGCACGACCTCGTTCATCCACGAACACTGGAATATGATGACGTGGTAGTCCGATCTCTTTATTGCCGTCCAAATATAGGGACGCCGCCTCTCTAATAGTTTCCACACACTGTAAAGGCATGGGGAAACACCAGTCTACGTTTGTTCGCTGGGTGAGGGTGTCATTCAATTGACCCCCTGCCTTCGACTGCGTATTCATCACGGAATAGTACGACTCGACAACTGCCTCGGAACCACTCATAGCCAGTGCAACATCCAATGCTATACAGAATTCTTTGCCTGCCGCTTGATATATTGCTTCATTCGTATAAAACGTTGAGAATGCCTTGGCCTGGTCCAATCTGGCAGTGCAAACACTATCATCATAAGTGAAAACGAATTTTTCATCTATTTCTTGATCTTCGCTCTTTACTGTGAACTCCTTTAACGGTGCTTGACTGTGTGTTCCTTCTTCAGGTCGTTCAGGTGGAAATCAATACTTTCTGCACCCGCCGAGATCCATCCAGACAACATGAAAAACTACGTCCTTGAACTGACGATGCGCGTGGTTTGCATGATAGAGCTGGAAGCAACTTCAATTCCTCCTCTTCTTTTGCCAATCGTTTGATGTGGGCCAAGGAACAAACATAGGTGTAGAAGGAGCGGAACCCATTCCCACAAACATCACGAGCAGCTACTTGACGTGCAGTGAATCTGCCGTTTAGTCCTTGTACCAAGGATACGACGTCTGGTAAATGTAAACGTCCCAATATATGTGCTGCTTCGGAGACGCTTGTGGCATATCTAGAATCCATTCCATCTGTAGCATTCTCGCAAAGGATAACCAGATCTTTTAAGCAATCATCCACCGTTCTTTCACTCCATTCAATGACTTTTCTTTTCTTTTTGGAAATGCTGTCGGCCTGTTCTGCCGTATCCACGACCATCCATCCTGGTAATAACTGAACCCCTTTAAAAATGCAATCTACGCTATCTTCTTCATTAAGATCTTCATAATGTTTCCAGAGTTTTGGGAATAGTTGCTTTCGTACTGTTACTTTCCGAATGTCAGATAGCTGACCGGTCGGACCTCGTTTCATTGCTAGTAGAATGGCTTTTACTTTTGGCCACCATTTGGTAACAGACCACAGGTACTGATCCAAAGATTGAGACTTGATCATCATCTCCATAGGTTTTGACAGGATGTCTATGATTCCACACAGATCTAGGCAGAAATCCCGACCTTTAATCATATACTTCATTTCCTCGTCTTCATCATCCGTTTCTCTAATCGCTGAAAACGCTTTACATAGAGCTTCATAACTTTCGTATATGCTCTCAAACTGTGAAAACGAGCTACTCGCGAACCGTGTTGTTGCGTACACTTTAGTAACATGAGCCTTCAAGGAATTTTGCTTTGCAACGCCCTGGTATTCAGCATGCCCCTTTCCTCTGCCATACATCGTATTGAATTGGTTTGCTCTTTTGATGAAGCGCCGTAAGAACTCGCTACTCTCACGAATATCCACCATACAAAGATCCATCCAGTGGGCAGTATCCCAGGGTATAACGAAAAAGATATCATGAGCAGCTAGCAGGTCCTCTTTGTTGTCCCCTTGTGTAGATGATTTCAACGTTTGAAGAAACATTCTTGACTGGTACTGACCATCAGCTTGATGGGCCATCAACGATGACAAAGCATTATTTGGAAGCTTCAAGGTTTTAACCAGGGCAGAGATCACCTGTTCCGCTAATTCATCAGCTGTCCCTCCTTTAAGGCCTGCTTCAGAAAATGAGTACACAGCCGGAGCATCGACTGGAATGGCTGTCTTCATGCCATTTAACATTACTAGGATCATTATGGCGTGATTTGAAACGTGAATTGGAGTAGACTTGTCTGACGTAGTTCCAAAGTGTGGTGGCAGTCCTGTTGATGGTAAAGGCGTAGTGAGGAGATCGCGTGTTCGCTTGTGTAAATAGCATTCAAAAGCTTGAACCATGGCTTTCATTTGATTTCTTCCATGACCCAAGTTCCCAACATCCGAACCGCAA